TGACATCCATCCCCCTCGAAGCCCCCCTTCCCCCTCCCGCTGCTCGGGCGCAGGTTCCGGGAGCTTCGTTGTAGCGGGGTAGATGCTGGATCCTGTTCGTCGCCGTCGATCTCCTCTGCTTCCAGTTCAGTGTAGGAGTGCTCGAAACCAGGGTCCTCCCCCAACACCTCCAAACCCTTCCCTCCCCTGTTACTTCAGGCGAAGCTGCTTGCCAAGGCCCCCTTCGCCACCCCACTTCTGGTTGATCGTCCCACCAATAAGAGCGGTCCGTGTCTACCCCGAGCACGATCCCCTTGGAGGGCTCGATTGCGGCGTGGTCTCCTCTGCGGAGGAGAACCCCCGGAAGGTGCTGCCTGAAAGTGTGGGGGTAAAAGCCAGTCGTCAAAATACTCCTCTGGCATGGGCCTGTGTGGGAAGAGTGCATGGAACTCGTCCTTAAGAAAAGGTTCCTCCAGAGCATAATCTGGCACCCAACTGTTGGCGCTGGCCGGGGTACCTTCCCTGGCGAGGAGGTATTCCACTCCCTCCTCCCCCCATCTCGAGTCCAGAATTTCCGTGGCCTCGTTGAGTGTCGGGGTCCTCGGTGACTTCCCCCTGGTGACTTCCTACGTGGGTCTGGTGCCGTCCCTGGCTCCTGAAATCGGTGTGGGGCCTTGTAGGGTGTAAGCACCGACCTATGAAAGACCGGGTGCATTCGGGAATCCTCTGGGAGGGTCAACCGAAAGCTACGGGATTGATCCTGCCCTCAACTTGGTATGGCCCTAGCTGTTTGTGTCCTAGCTTCTTCTTAGCTAACGACTTGGCCGGCACCGCCTGGGCTGCTAACCATACCCAGTCCCCCACCTGGATGTCTTCTCCTGCCCTCCTGTGCCTGTCTGCCTGCACTTTGTAGGCGTGTTTAGCCAGTTCCAAGTGCCGTCGTAGCTCCTCGTGGACCTCCTGCAATTCTGCTGCTAAATGTTCCGCTCCCTGCGACTCCCCCTGTGTCGTTGTCTCCAACGCCGGGAATGTTCTGGGATGTCGCCCATTGTTGGCGAAGAACGGTGTCACCCCGTTGACGCGTGCTTCGTGTTGTTGTAGGCAAACTCGGCCATCGGTAAGTAGTCCACCCAAGTTGCCGGCTTCTGATTGGCGTAACAGCGCAGGTACTGCTGCATGATGGCGTTGACCCTCTCCGCTTGGCCGTTGGTTTGCGGGTGTCTCGCCGACGCTAAGTTGATCTTGACATTCAGGATGCCCAGGAGCTTCTGCCAGAAACTGGAAATGAATTGGCGACCCCGGTCGGACAAAATGGACCGTGGTAAGCCGTGCACCCGGAACACGTGGTCTATGAATAGCCTGGCGGTCTGCTCCGCTGTTGCCACCTTCGCGCAAGGAATGAAATGCGCCATCTTGGTGAACAGATCTACAACCACAAGCACCGCCGTCTTGCCCCGCGAACTGGGCAGATCAGTGACAAAGTCCAGCGCCACCCTTTCCCACGGCTGCAGTGGCGTCTCCAACGGTTCCAGCAATCCCGCTGGCTTCTTGTGCACTGGCTTGGACCTCTGACAAGTGTCACACCTGGCGACGTAATCCGCGACTTCTCCCCGCATCTGGGGCCACCAAAAGTCCCTGGCTACTAAGTCCGCCGTCTTCTCCTTGCCGAAGTGACCCGCGCTGGGGGCGTCGTGTAACTGCTGTAAAACCTTCGCTCGGAGATCGTCTCCCGGGACGTAGAGAGCACCTTTGCGGGTCAGCAGGCCGTCGCGTATCTGGAATTCGCCGTCCTTGCTGTCCCTCTTCGCACCTCCTCCATCTTGGATTGTGCAAACGGATCCGTCTGTAACGCGCGTCGTACCGCGTCCAGGTCCACGGCGGCAGAAGCGCACGCCCACGCTTGCGGTGCAAAAATGTGCCTGGCTGCCACTGGTGCCGCTTCCTCAAGATACTGCGGTTTCCTGGAGAGCGCATCCGCTATGACGTTGTTGTCTCCCGGGATATACTCTATCCGGAAATCGAAATCAGCAAAGAACTCCGCCCATCTCATGTGCCTCTGGCTCTGGAGCTTCGCCGTGCGCCAATACTCTAGGTTCTTGTGGTCCGTGCGGACCTGCACGGTGTGCTTGGCTCCGATGAGGAAGTGCCGCCACGCCTTGAAAGCCGCGTGGATGGCCAACAACTCCCTGTCCCAGATGGTGTAGTTCTGTTCCGACTTGCTGAGCTTCCGGGAATAGAAAGCGCAGGGCCTCCAGTTCTCTTGCGAATCTTCCTGCAAGAGGACGGCCCCCACTGCTCTGTCAGATGCGTCAGTCTCAACCCGCATGGGCCTGCCGGGATTCACGTGTAGCAGCTGGTCTTCGGACGCGAAGAGACTCTTAAGTCTCCTGAAGGACTGCTCCGCCTGGTCCGTCCAGGTGAACTTTTCTTCTTGGAACTGAGGGTGTCCGTGATAGCTGCCGTCTCTTTCGCGAAACCCCTGATGAACTTGCGGTAAAAGTTGGCGAAGCCGACGAACCTCTGGACCTCCTTCCGATTGCGCGGGCTATTCCAGTCCAACACCGCGCGGACCTTGGCGCTGTCCATGGCTAATCCCTTGTCGGACAGCCGGTAGCCCAGGAAATCCACCTCCGTCACGTCGAACTGGCACTTCTCCAGCTTGGCGTAGAGTCTGTGCTCCCGTAGCCTCTGCAGGACCTCCTTTACGTCTCTTTCGTGAGTCTCCTGCGATTCCGAGAAGATCAGAATATCGTCGAGAAAACATACGCACTTCTTGTAGAGGAGTCCTGCTAGCACGTGGTGCATGAATGCTTGAAAGCAGTGGGAGCCACCTTGGAGACCAAACGGCATAACTCTGTATTCATAGGTGCCCAGCGGCGTGAACATGGCCGTCTTCCACTCGTCACCTTCCCTCATGCGTATGAGATTGTAGGCTCCGCGTAGATCCAACTTGGTGAAGATCCTCCCCTTCCTTACCGTCGCGAGCAGGTCGTCAATCTTGGGCATGGGGAAAGCCTTGGGTTTTGTCATCGAGTTTATGGCCCTATAGTCCACAATGAGCCGTTTTTGGGGCGTGTCCTTCTTCTTCACGAAAAACACAGGACTGCCCCCCACTGCCTTGGATTCTCGGATGAATCCCCGCTTCAAATTGTGATCTATGAACTCCCTGAGCTCCTGCATCTCATCTTCAGACATGGAATACAGCTTCGCAGTCGGCAGCGTCGCCCTGGTTATGTGGCCATTTCCACTGTTGTCGGGCGGGTTGGGTGTTACTTGGTCAGCTTCCTTCTCGCAGAAGACCTCCAAAACCCCTTGTACTTGTGGGGCACTGCCTGCACCATGCCTAGATGCAGCTGTTGCCCTTCCTCCTGGTCCTCCTGGTCCTGGCCGATCTGGATGCAATGTTGTGCACAGTAGGACGAGCCAAAGGTGAGCTGCCGCTGGTACCACGCCAAGGATGGGCTGTGTCTATCCAGCCAACTCATGCCTAACACTATGGGCGTGTCTGACAGTTGGGTGACATTGAAACTGATGACCTCGCGATGATTCCCAATTTTCAGCAGCATGGGTGGCGTCTGTTGTACCACTTGCCCACCCAGCAACTTCCTGCCATCTACAGTGACCACATTCAGAGGCAGCGTGGCTGGTAGTAAGGCTATGCGATGCTGCTTGACGAACTGCACCCCCACGAAGTCTGCGTTGCTCCCTGAGTCAATCGTAATGGGGACTTCCAGGGTGAGTCCATTAGGCAGCTGGAGAGTAGCAGTGAGCTGCACCACTGGCTTAGGTGGTAAGGGGTCTGTAGGCTGCAAAAGCGCTGGGGACTGCTTCACTGACTTGCCTGGCGGAGCCCCAGCGTCTCTCCCTCCAACCAGGCATTCTCGTTTCCCTGAAACTGCTCCCCTTGGAAAGCTTCCCGTTACTGTTGCTAAGGCTGCAGTGTGCTTCTGGAGCCTCTGGGGACACTCTTTAGCCATGTGCCGTGCACTGTCACAGATGTAACACTTCCTGGTCCCTCTAGGAGGCTTCGCTTTGACTGCTCCTGACGCTGAGGCTCCGGCAGCTGTCTGAGCCTTTGCACCACCCAGTTCCATCAGTTCTTCCCCGCTGCCAGCACAGGCGAAAGGCTTGAACGTTCCAAGTCCCTGGAAGGAAAAGGAGGCGCTCTAGCTGGTGGGCGGACGTGACGCCCCTCCTCCCTGTGCCAAGGGCGTTCTTCTTGGCGCACCCCTATCGTGAGTGCCCTCTGCACGACTTCTGCTAGGGTTTGAGGTCTGTCTCCCTAGCCAGCTCATCTTTCACTGAGCCATGAAGCCCTTCCCAAAACAAGTCCCTCACTGCCAGGGAGTCCTTTTCCCAGCCCAGCACATTCAGCAATGCAAAAAAGCGAGAATGGTACTGACGCACTGTAGCCTTGCCCTGCCGCAATCCATGCATCTCCTGGCGTGCCACATCAACGTCAACAGTAGATTGGAAGCAAGCGTCCATGGCTTTGAGAAATTCATCAGAGTCCCTGCGTGCAAGACCATCTTCGCGCCACAAATTGCGTAACCAGTTTCTTGCTTCCCCATGCAGATGAGACACGATAAACCCCACTTTTTCCTCCTCATCTTTGAAGTCTTTTCGAAGTAAATGCAGTGCGTATACGACGTCTGCTCTGAAATTGGGATAATGCTTCAGGTTCCCATCGAAGTGGGCTACTAAATTGCCCCCTCCGTCCGAGTCCGATTCCCTCTGATCTGGACCCCGGGAACCCCTCTCTGCACGCCCGATCCCACCTGGCTTGCAGATCCTGGCATCGCGCTTCTGCTTCAGCAACTGTCTTCTGAGAAACCACGACAGCAGTGGAGAGCTCGGTGACTGCGGTTTGCAGGGACGCTATCTGCTCCTCAGTAGTCATTGCTGCCAAACGTCGGGAGCTGTGCAAAAAAAATTTTGCGGTTTTTTTGTTGTGAGAGGGGACTTACTGTCAAGGCTGCCTCAAGTCTTAGCTCACAAAAGACCAACGCCTCTGTCTTCTTATATACAAAAGTGTTTATTGCAGTTCATGGTTTGCTTGACATCCTAGGCGCGCAGCCTTACGTCTTTTACGCTAGACCGCCGAAGTCCCCTCTGAGTCAGTTCCTCCCCTGCACCAATTTAAGAGACTTGCGCTGCTCCACCTCTTTCTCTCCTTCCTTTTCCGCAGGGTCCTTCTGCCCACTGGGGTTTCGCCCCTCCTGGATTCCTCTGATGCGGAATCCCCAGACTGCTCTTCCCCCCCTCCTGCGGGCTTTGGGACCTGGCCCCTCCTCCGGGCTCCCTGCACTTCCGCGCGCTCTACATTTGAACTAGGCGCGCGCGCCAAACCTCTAACTTTCCTTTTGACAGTTACACTACTCCCTTCACTGCTCCCCTCCTTCCGGGAGGGCGGCTTGCTCTGACCCCCTCCTTTCTCTGCTGCTGGAGCTGCTTCCTCTGACACACTGGAAACTCCACCCCCTTCGCTGCACTCTGGTGGGGAGGCTGGTCCTGACGCCCAGCTGCCACTTTGGGATCTTCCGCTGGCACCCTGCTCCTGACACTTCCCCTGGGGCTCCCTGGCCTTGACCACCGGCGCCCCTTCTGGGAATCCTCTGATTCGCTGGAAAGACTCATGGAATCTCTTGAGTCATTGTCATCCTCTTCCTCGCTGGCTTGGAATTCCTCCCCATCGCTCTCCATCTCCTGCCTACCCTGTGCCTCTCTCCCTGAACCCCTGACACATGCCAATCCCAGTAAGCTAATGTAGGGGCCCTTGACCACAAGCAAGTCCAGTTGCCGCGTCCGCCCTCTATATTGCACCCTGAAGGTCCCCACCCCCATTGTGGGGACCTTACGTTTCTGGAAGTCCCGGAGGGTGAATTGGGCCGGCCTGAGTTTGGGACCCCCACTAGGACACAGTTTCTTTAAGGTCCTTGCCGAGATTATGGATAGAGTTGAACCCGTGTCAAGCTCCATGCGGCACGGGGCCCCCTCTATCTGTACCTCTACATAAATTTTCTCTACATTGGGGTGGGGCAACTGGTATACCTGGAAGTCTGTGAGCTCCGTCGAGTTGCCTTGGTGCGTTGGGCCCCGGGACCTGGGGCTCTTGGATCGGTCATCTGATGCCTGGCGTCGGGTGGGCCGAGCCCGACACACCCGGGCGATGTGTCCCAATTTTCCGCACTGCCTGCACTCTGCGTTGCAGAAACGGCAGGTCCTCCTCTCGTGACTCTCCCCGCAGCTTGCGCAGTTCCCTCCTTCTCGTCGAGGCAGCTGTGGTCTGTGCGCTGCTTGAGTGCGCTGCTGTACTCGGTGCACCTCCTCCCTGTCAGATCCTGAGTCGTCGGTGAGGTCTTCGTGGTGGACCCTCGGTTGGGACGGCAGGCTTGGTCGTGCCTCTTGCGTCAACCTCTCGGCAGCTTCTGTTGCCAGGGCCTCCTCCAGGGCGACCTGGAATGTTAGGTCCTTCTTAGCGTAGAGGCGTCGTTGCAGCTTCTCATCCTTCAGGCCACCGACGAGGCGGTCACGAAGCATGTTCTCCAATTCTGAGAAGTTGCAGAACCGGGCAGCTTGGCGGAGAGAGGTCACAAACCCAGTTATGGTTTCCCCAGGGGCTTGCCGCTTTGCGTAGAAGGCATTTCGACGAGCCACCACTCAGGGCTGCGGCGAAAAGTGCCCCTTCAGCCGTTCCATTATTGTTTTGTATGGAACAGTAGTGACGTCTTCAGGCACAAGGAGAGCCCGGGCGATTTCAAACGTCTCCTCTCCGCAGACGCTGAAGAATATCGCCCTCTTCTTGGCATCTTCTTCGTCGGTGACCCCTTTGGCTTCTAGGAGGAAGGTGAAACGGGAGGCATACGCTTCCCAGTCTCCGGATGCTGTGTTGAACGGCGAGAAGCTGCTGTTGGTTGCCATTCTGAGTTCTTTGGGTCCCAGAGCTGAAGCCTGGATACACGGTGCGAGGCAGCGGTGCAGCAGGTGGCGGTGCTGCGGTGCTGTGTGTGGCGGTCAGCTCAGCGGTATCCCCTCCTCGTCGCCAGTGAAATATACTCAGAGTCGAGAGTGGATTTCATGCTCTTTATTCAGCTCATGGTGGTGAGGAGGGAATGGAAGTCCCCTCAAAGTATCTGCTTTATATACATTATTTACACAATGGGCTGCACATGATTGGCTAATTCCGGAATTCTCCTGTAGGCCAATCAGGTTGTGGATTCACTTCTATCTGGAGCTGGATTGGGTGGCTCCTGCCAACCAATCATACTGCTGCATTGTTCTAGGACCAATCAGACTGCTGCATTCTGAATTCTATTGTTCTAGGACCAATCAGACTGCTGCATTTTGGAGCCTATTGTTCTAGGACCAATCAGACTGCTGCAGTTTGGATCCTATTCAACTCAGTACATAACACCACTTTTTCCCTTTCTAGAGGCAAGGGACCTATTAGGATTATCCGCCTCTGGAGGCTGATGTATCTAATGGGTTTCCAGGTAACGCTGAGGTTTTTTTCTGTCTGATATGACTGGCACTCCTATCAAAGCCCTGGCCAGCCTCTGGAACATCTGAATGGCTCGGGCTTTTGACATGATCACTTCTGAGCATCCTCTCCCACTTGACTCCTTGGTATACTGCAGAACTTAGGGAAAGGAAACAAGTTGAAAGATGGAGGAAAGATCTGGCTGCATACAACTGAACAGTGGTGTGGGCTCATCATTAAGCATACATAGTGGTATTGAAGATGGCAGTATACTCAGCTACAAGCGATCGCTAATGAAGAAGAAAGACAGTCCGACTCAAGGAGGTGGTGGAACCAATGGTAGCTATGTGTAAGCACTGTGACTTGTTTGCAAAGCATTTTGAGGATAAAACCACTTGCATCCGCTGGGATCTTGACTCTGCTGTTATAGCAGATGAGTCTCATGGGTGTCCAGAGCACTGTCTAGTCCTGTTGTTTTGGATAATTTTCAGATAGTAAGGCTTGAGGATGTGGACAAGGTGTTCGTATTAGTCAGGGCAACGACTTGTGCTTCGGACTCTTGCCCTTCTTGGCTGATAAAAAGTAGCGGGGGTGGTGGTAATTGACTGGGCCAGGAAGAGTGTTCCTATTTCCATCTGAAATGCAGGACGGCATAACATTCTGATCCAAGTTTCATTCAGAAAACATTATCCATAATAGCAGCAGCAGGCTGCTGCAGTCAAATTGGCCAGTCAGAATGGAAAAGCCTATTTTAACAAAACCAATAAAAGAGAGCGGCAATACTATTTTCTTGTTTCCCTTGTTCAACTACAATTCCATAAAACAGTGGGTTTGTAGGTTCTCATTAATAAAAAATAAATAAAGGGTGTGAGGGGTGGGTGGGATCGATGTGCCTATACTTCTTAATTCCACCCCTGGGCCTTTTCTATACTGAAAATAGTGTTAATTTGTTCCCCTTCCACTGCTGTAAATATTGCTCCCTTAGAAAATAAGTGATTTATTTGACTGGAACAAAATCCATCTTGTGTCTCCAAGTGGTTTAGGGTTGTATGATCTATGTCTGGATTGGCCCACTTAATGCTATTTATTGCTCTATGAATGATATTAAGATGGATTTCTTAAGTCTGGTGGAATTACTTTTTCTTCTTTTGTGCAATTTTTACTTGCCATAGCAAACAAGACTTTGTCCATGTACCCATATAAAATAACTATTATCGTTCTTTTCCTCTGCATTTTTAAAGCATAAATATTATTGGCTTTGAGGCAACAATGACAGAATGTGCTGACATCAGAAAAATGCCAGCTCCAGCCCAACCAGAAGTAAAATGTATAGGGCATATTGAGAGATGGGTGGCAAAGCTGTGCATATGCTTTGTCCTCCCCAGCAGTACATATTGTGGGAGAGTAGCTAGAGGAAGCAGAGAAAAGCTCCAACCAGTATTATTTTTTCTATTTTTTTTTTCAATTTTGGAGTTTGCTTGTTTATTTTAAATTCAATTTGTAAAGGTCCCTTTAGAAACGAAAAGATACAAACACAAGTTAAGCACACAGTTTGCTTTTAGTTCAACACTTTCTTCATCCATCAATTTTACCCAAAATCACAAAAGTAATATTACAAAGCTTTCACAGTGCACATTTACATATTCTGCATATACATCTATTCACTCTTCAAACAATGCATTTCCATTGAATTTGGCTTAAAAAACAACAACACAGCCCCTACATCAGGCTGGAAATATATAACGTTTTAAACCAATGTGTTTTTCCTCTTAAAAAAAGAAAATATATTACTTGGAAAGAAGCCCATATTGCACTAATTCCCAAACAAGACACGGACATAAGGCAGGTGAAAAATTATAGGCCAATCTCGCTCCTAAATAATGATTACAAATTATTTGACAGTATATTGGCCAATAGACTTAAAAATGTATTTGGAGAGGAGATTGGAAAGAACCAAACTGGATTTCTACCTGGTAGACAGATGAAGGACAATGTTAGAAATATAATTGATATGGCGGGCGCCGGGGCGTTTTTCCGACGGCTTGTTGCGCTGAGCGGGGCTGCGGCCATCGGGGCGGCCGCCTACGGGGCTCACAATTTCCGTCGCAGCGACCGAGATGACGACTTGAAAGAGCTCTACGAGATGGCCAACAAATACCACTTCCTCCACAGCCTGGCCCTCCTGGCTGTGCCCCACTGCCGCTATCCCATGATGGCCGGCAGCATCCTGTCTCTGGGCATGGGGATGTTCTCTGATATTACCACGCCGTGACAGGGGACCCGATCCTGACCAAGGCAGCCCCGTATGGTGGTTCCCTCCTCATCCTTGGCTGGATCGCCATGGCCCCTTGATACCCCGTTCTGTCCCCATGTGGCCCCCATCTCCCAACGCCAGGGCAGCCAGCCCTGCCCCTCCCTCCTCCCTTAGGCTAGCCAGAAGGGAGCCCTAGGAGAGGAGAGATTTCCAAATGTCAGAGTGGGATCCCTCGAGGCCTTTAGCCCGCCCCGAATGCATCTCTATCCTGCATCTTGGAATTCCCCGAATGCCAAATCCCTTTTAAAAAAGCCAAGATCCTTCCCCCCCCCCCAAAAAAAATTGCAACCAGATTTGAGTTTGCGATGGAGGCCTCGAAATGCAATGTCTGATTGGTGCTTTTCAATTGCTGTTTTTTTAACTTAATAAATGATGAGAGTGATTTCACTTTTTTAAAAACCCACACACCTTTTTTTCCTGTGAATAAATTTATTCCGTGGGGGGAGCGGGAAGAAAGAAATATAATTGATATAATGGAATATCTGGACTCCAGGAGAGACAAACAAGCCGCCCTAATGTTTCTGGATGCTGAAAAAGAATTTGATAATGTGTCTTGGCATTTTATGAAAAGAAATTTAGGATTTATGGATATCGGTGAAAAACGTTTAAATTGTATTCGGACTATTTATTCGGAACAATATGCTAAATTGATAGTTAATAATAACTTCACAGACAAAATTGAGATAACAAAGGGAACCAGACAGGGGTGCCCGCTATCGCCATTGTTATTTATAACAATACTAGAGGTCCTGTTGAGGAAAAGAGAAGCAACAAAAGAAATAAAGGGGATTGGTGTAGGCTCAAAAGAATATAAGTATAAGGCCTTTGCCGACGACGTTGTCTTGAATTTAGAACAACCTATGTCCAGTGCAATAGAAGCTTTGAAAAAGATTGACGAGTATGGGCAATTAGCAGGCTTTAAGCTCAACAAAAATAGGACAAAAATATTAACTAAAAATTTGGACAGTAAAGAAATAGGAGAACTACAACAAAAGACAGGTATGTCGATAGAAAAAAAGGTAAAATACCTAGAGTCTGGCTCACATCTAAACCTCTTTAAAGACAACTATGAAAAGGTGTGGAATGAAGTGAAGAGAGATCAGGAGATATGGACTAGAATGAAATTATCAATGATGGGTAGAATCTCAACTATCAAAATGAACGTGTTACTGAGACTGTTGTTTTGATTTCAGACAATTCCGGTTATCAGTGGAACAAAACAATTTAATGTATGGCAAAGAAGATTGTCTAAATTTATCTAGCAGGTTAAAAAGCCAAGAATTGAGTATAAAATATTGACAGATGCAAAAGAAAGAGGCGGTTTTTCCCTGCCAGATCTAAAAATTTACTACGAGGCGGCTTGTTTTTGTTGGTTGAGAGAATGGATAAGGTAAAAGGTAAAGGTACCCCTGCCCGTACGGGCCAGTCTTGACAGACTCTAGGGTTGTGCGCTCATCTCACTCTAGAGGCCGGGAGCCAGCGCTGTCCGCAGACACTTCCGGGTCACGTGGCCAGCGTGACAAAGCTGCAGCTGGCGAGCCAGCACCAGCGCAGCACACGGAAACGCCGTTTACCATCCCGCTGTAAAGCGGTACCTATTTATCTACTTGCACTTAAGGGTGCTTTCGAACTGCTAGGTGGGCAGGAGCTGGGACCGAACGATGGGAGCTCACCCCGCCGCGGGGATTCGAACCGCCGACCATGCGATCGGCAAGTCCTAGGCGCTGAGGTTTTACCCACAGCGCCACCCAGGATAACCTTAGATAATTCAGATATATTGGATTTGGAGGGATTTGACAACATATTCGCGTGGCACGCCTCCCTGTGGTCAGAATGCACAGAGGGTTTTTGAACCATACTATTAGAAAATCATTGTATGAGGTGTGGAGCAGACATAAAACATTATTGGAATGCAAAACTCCGAGGTGGCTCTCACCTCTGGAGGCTTTTGCAGTCAAAAAAATAAATAAATCTGGGAACTGAATGGGCGACATACAAAGACTTGCTGATGGAAGTGATAATAAAATAAAGTTAAAGACATTCGAAGAACTAAGAGGAAAGGTAACCGATTGTTACAAGATGTGTTTAGAGAGGATAATAAAAGAAACGGATTTGGAAGTAACAAATCTAAATTGGAGACAGAATTGCTGGGTAGTAAAATGAAAATACTGTCGAAAATGTATCAGTTACTACTGGAGTGGCACACTGTTACGGTAAAATCTGGGTGCGGGGCTACTCTGCCACCCAGCTCGTCGGACTAGGTCCGCGGGTTCCTGCGGAAGAAAATGAGCTCAGCCGGAGACAGGAGCAAACGGCAGAAGATCCAAGTTTATTGCGCAACAGGTTCAAGGCGAGATTGAACAGCGAGAAAGGGGTGACATGAACTTTTGAAATTTCCCTCCATGTCCCAGAATACAGTGCAAAAATACATCCCAGTTACATCATGAATACATTAAGAAGAGGTTGGGTTACACAGATTACATCACGAATACATTAGGAAGAGGTTGGGTTACACCGGATTAACATATGGAGGAGGGAGGGGGGAATATGCAGAGCTGGAGATATGCGCAGATAAGCACATCCTGAGTACCTGATGAGAAGACAATGGTCCATGTATGCATAGTCTGCCACCTGGCCTTGCCCAGAGGAAAGGCTTGGCAGAGTGATTTGACAGGATTAGGGTCTTGACACCTTGCTTGAGGGATTATGGAGGACAGGGGAGGTGTCATGGAGTCCTAGAGAAATTGAGCAAATTGGCACGTTGATTTTCTATGAATTTTATAGATTTTAGTACCTTTTGACATTGACAATTGGAAATAAATGGATATATTGTAGCGAAGAAGGAGGTGAAGAAGAAAATGCCCCCCCCTTCCGTATCACACACAAAGAATGAAGAGGTAAAAAGTGTTATGATTAGGTGGGCCCAGGATTTGGGGCACAATATTGATTTTAAAAGGTGGGGAAAACCGTGGACCGAAACAATTAAATTCACAGCATGTGTGTCACTCAAAGAAAATATATTTAAGATGATGTATCGATGGTATATTAGACATGCCAAACTTGCTAAGATGTATAGAAATCAAGACAAAAATTGTTGGAAGTGTAAGGAGAAGGAGGGGAACTTCCTCCATCTGTGGTGGACTTGTTCTAAAGTGAAAGCCTTCTGGGACATAATATACGAGTTAAAAAAGGTTTTGAAATATAATTTTAATAAAATAAAATAATAATAATAATAATAATAATAATAATAATAATAATAATAATAATAATAAAAAACAACCAGAGGCATTTCTATTAGGCTTAATTGGTGAGGAAATACATAAAAGTGATGTAAACATGTTTATGTATGCCACAATGGCTGCAAGGACACTTCTGGCTCAGAAATGGAAGCAGCAGGAACTTCCAACACTGGAAGACTGGCAGGTCAAGATGATGGAGTTCGAAGACATAATCCGGAATCAGCGTGACGAACTGTTTCCAAAGGACTGGAACGCATTTATGAAAGAAAATTGTAAACATTTGAAAACGTTTGTATGCTTGAATTGAAATGTTTTGTAATGTAACTATAAGGAACTGATTTACCGATAATAAGGTGAAATATTATAATTTGACAAAGGGTAAATAAGTGCTTATAGAAATGCGAAGAATATGGAAAGTTATGGGGAAGTCAGAAAGAGGGAGGGCAGGAGGTCGATGCTCTTACAGAGTAATATATTAAGTCATAGAATTATGTAACAAAATGTGAATATGATTTAATGGAAAACTCAGTAAAAATTACTTTAAAAACATAAAAAGGGAAAATATATTAGGAGTGGCTTTTCTTTTAATAAGTTAATAAATGAACTACTTCATTGGCACAGCATTCGAATGAGGTGTAGTGGTTGTATAGTTCTTGATACGTTTTGTTTCATAGTTATATTTGGGTTGCTGCTTTAAAAAAAATGGTTAGCTTTTTGTATCATAAAGTTGACAAAACTGATTCCTAGTATACAACTGAAAGCAGAAATGGGGCACTTTTCCCTTTTGCTTTGCTGCAGATATGCATGCTATTTTACCATAGCTCACAGAATGGCATGATGACACCTTTTTACTACATATGTGAATTATTAAAAAACCCTGTTACTCGTTGAAATTTTGTCTGGTCAATATATTTCAGCTTCGTGTTTTGTTACGCGTTTAATATTTTTTCTATTTTTTAAAAAGTGCCAGAATTCACAAACACTTCCCTTGTTCTCTAATGGTGCCCACCTGAGAGGTGCTGGATCTGTTCGAGCAAGTTCCAGCTGAGAAAAAGCCCTGGTTCTAACTTGCCTAAATGGGGAAAGTTGGCATTACTACAGTGAGTGAACAGATGCAAGAAGCAGCATCCTTTGGCCATAGAGCACCAATGCCAGGGAAATTGAAGAGAGTCAGGGCAAACTTAGTTGCCTGACAGCATGAGTGAAACTAACTCTGCAGACAGGCATATAGGACTGGGGAGTGTGCTAGGAACTAAGAAATACAAAACACAACTGTCAGAGCTGCTTCCAGATCCTAGCTCACAGAGGATCACGCTAGCCAGCGATCATTAAACAAAAGTCTTTATTGAGTTACAGTTTCCATTCTCAAACTGCTGCGTGCAACTCTACGTCTCATGGTTAGACCGGCGAAGCTCCGTCTGAGTCTCCGCCCCTTGTACACCAACTTAATATCCTAGCCCTGCTCCACCTTTTCCGCCTGACTGTTCTTCTCTGGGTCCCTCTGCCCCCTGGGGTCTCTTCTTTCCGGGATTCCTCTGGCCTGACGCTGACCCCCCTGACTCTTCTCCCTCCTTTCGGCGGGCTTTAGGACCTGGCTCCCTTTCCGGGCTGCCTACTGTGCCACCTTCCTGTGCATTTGAACTTGGCGCGCGCGCCCAACCTTCCACCTTCCGTCTGACCGTTTCTTCGCTCCCCGATGGAGGTGTGGCCACTCCTGACTCGTGCCCTCCCCCCTGTTGTGAGCTGCCAGCGCTTGATCCCTGGCTCCCTTCCTCTTCCCTGCTCTCTGGCGGTGACGCTGGTCCCGATTTCCAACTGCTCCCCTCTGAGTCCCCTCTGGCTCTATCTTCCTGGGGCGTCCCCTAGGCTCCCCCTTGCCCTGGCCACTGGTGCTCCTTTCTGTGAATCTTCTGATTCACTGGAAAGACTCGGAGATCTCGGGTCGTCGTCATCACTCATCTTTTCTTCTGCCTCCTCCCCCTCGCTCTCTGTTTCCTCCCTTGCCCTTGCCTCTGCTCCTGAACCCCTGACATCCATCCCCCTCGAAGCCCCCTCTTCCCCCTCCCCTCCTTCCGGTGCGGGATCTGGGTGCTGCCGTGTCAGGGGACGAATGTCGGATACAGTTCGCTTCCCGTGGCGGGCCGCCATCTGAAGTCTTCCGGTTCTTCCTCCCTGCTCTCGTTGACGACGGTCACCTCCGCTTCCATCTCTGTGCCGCCGTGCTCGAAACCCGGGTCGTCCCGAAAGCGTCCATGTCCGTCTCTCCCTCGTTACCTTCTGGAGACGTTGCTCGTCCTGGACCCTCCAGCCACCTTCTGCGGAACTGCTCCTCTGGTCGATCATCCCACCAATACGAGGGTTCTGAAGCAGATCCCGAGGGTGACCCCTCCGGGAACGGGCGTCTCGTGTCGGTTCCTCGTCCGAGTCGAACCCCGGAGCGTGCTGGCTGAAAGCGTGGGCGTGAAAAGCCAGTCGTCGAAAAGTCTGCTGGCATTGGCCTATGTGGGAAGAGGGCATGAAACTCTTCTTTGAGCAGAGGTTCGTCTAAAGCGTAGCCCGGCACCCAGCTGTTGGCACTGGCCGGGGTGCCCTCCTTGGCGAGAAGGTATTCTACCCCCTCTTCCCCCATCTGGAGTCCAAAATCTCCGTGGCTTCGTTGATGCGCTCCTCCCGTGCCACTCCCCCCTGCCCGGTTCTCTCTCGGAGCGGACCCGGTGCCGTTCCTGGTTCCTGAAACCTGTGAGGTGCCTTGTATGGAGTGAGCACCGATCTGTGGAACACCGGATGCATCCTGGAACCCTCCGGAAGAGCCAGCCTGAAAGCCACCGGGTTGACCTGTTCTTCGACTTGGTAGGGCCCCAGTTGTTTATGCCCTAGTTTCTTCTTCGCCAACGACCTGGCCGGCACTGCGTGGGCTGCTAACCAGACCCAGTCTCCCACATGGATCTCTTCGCCAACCCTTCTGTGTTTGTCCGCTTGTACCTTGTATGCGTGTTTAGCCAGCTCCAGGTGCCGCCGCAGCTGATCGTGGACCTCCTGCAACTCCGACGCGAATGCATCTGCTGTCTGCGGCTCCCCCCCCCCCATTCTTTCCAGTCCCGGGAAGGTTCTGGGGTGCCTCCCGTTGTTGGCGAAGAACGGCGTGACCCCCGTGGACACGTGCTTCGTGTTGTTGTAGGCGAACTCGGCGAGAGGCAGGTAATCCACCCACGTCGCAGGCTGTTGATTCGCATAACATCTCAGGTACTGCTGCATGATGGCATTGACCCGCTCCGCTTGCCCATTGGTCTGCGGGTGTCTAGCCGACGCCAGGTTGATCTTGACGTTCAGGAAGCCCATCAGCCTCTGCCAGAAGTTCGAGATGAACTGTCGCCCTCGGTCGGACAGAATAGACCGCGGCAGACCGTGAACCTTGAACACGTGGTCTATGAACAGTTTGGCGGTTTGTTCCGCCGTGGCCACCTTCGCACACGGAATGAAATGTGCCATCTTGGAGAACAAGTCCACCACCACCAGCACAGCCGTCTTGCCCCTCGAGCTGGGCAGATCCGTGACAAAGTCCAGGGCCACTCTCTCCCATGGTTCGAACGGAGTTTGCAGCGGTTCCAGCAATCCGGCCGGCGGTCTGTGCACTGGTTTGGCCCTCTGGCAGGTGTCACACCTCGCCACGTAGTCCGCGACTTCCCCTCTCATTCCTGGCCACCAGAAGTCTCTGGCTACTAATTCCACCGTCTTCTCCTTGCCAAAGTGCCCGGCAGTGGGCGCGTCGTGCAGCTGCTGCAGTACCTTGGCGCGAAGTTCGTCTCCCGGCACGTAGATGGCCCCTTTACGGATGAGCAAACCATCTCGCAGCTGGAACTCGTCGGTCGCTGCCGTGCCCCTGTGCGCCTCTGCCATCTTTGCTTGCGCGAAGGAGTCATCCTGCAACGCTCGTCGCACCGCCTCCAGGTCAACTGTTGCCGCCGTGCACGCCCACACTGTCGGTGCGAAGATGTGCATGGCGGCCGCTGGCGTTGCCTCCTCCAGATACTGCGGCTTACGGGAGAGAGCATCCGCCATGATGTTGGTGTCCCCGGGACATACTCTATTCGGAAGTCGAAATTCGCAAAGAACTCAGCCCAACGTATCTGCCTCTGGTTCAGGAACTGTGCCGTGCGCCAGTGCTCTAGATTCTTGTGGTCCGTGCAGACCTGCACCGTGTGCTTGGCGCCGATCAGGAAGTGCCTCCACGCTTTGAACGCTGCATGAATGGCCAGCAACTCCCTGTCCCAGATGGTGTAGTTCTGTTCGGACTTGCTGAGCTTCCTTGAGTAAAACGCTCCCGGCCTCCAAACCCCCTGCGGGTCCTTCTGCAGCAGGACTGCTCCCACGGCTCTGTCCGAAGCGTCTGTCTCCACCCTCATCGGCTTGCTGGGGTTGACATGAAGCAGTTGCCCTTCCGACGCGAAGAGACGGCTTGAGTGCCTGAAAGGACTGCTCCGCCTGCTCTGTCCGATGAACTTCTTTTCTTGGAGCTGAGCGTGTCCGTGATGGCCGCTGTCTGCATGGCAAAGCCTTTGATAAACTTGCGATAGAAGTTCGCAAAGCCGACAAACCGTTGGACCTCCTTCCGGTTGCGTGGGCTTTTCCAATCCAACACTGCTCGGACCTTGGCGCTGTCCATGGCGAGCCCTTTATCAGACAACTTGTAGCCCAGGAAATCCACCTCCGTCACGTCGAATTGGCACTTCTCCAGCTTGGCGTAAAGCCTATGTTGCTGTAGCCTGCTCAGCACTTCCTTGACGTGTCTGTCATGCTCCTGCTGCGATTCCGAAAAGATCAGGATGTCATCCAAGAAACAGACGCACGTCTTGTAGAGGAGCCCCGCCAACACGTGATGCATGAAAGCTTGAAAAACGTGGGAACCATTTTGCAATCCAAAAGGCATAACTCTATATTCGTAGGTGCCCAGGGGCGTGAACATGGCTGTCTTCCACTCATCTCCTTCCCGCATGCGAATGAGGTTGTACGCCCCTCGCAGGTCCAACTTAGTGAACACGCTGCCCTTCCGTACCTTTGCGAGGAGGTCGTCGATTCGGGGCATGGGGAAGTCCGATGGCTTGGTCACGCTGTTCAAAATGCGATAGTCCACTACAAGTCTTTTCTGGGGCGTGTCCCGCTTCTTAACAAAGAATACCGGACTGCCCCCCGCTGCCTTGGACTCTCGGATGAAACCGCGCTCCAAATTATGATCTATGAACTCTTTGAGTTCCTGCAGTTCGTCCTCAGACATGGAATACAGCTTCCCTTTGGGCAGCGCCGCCCGGCAGCAGGTCAATTTTGCAGTCATATGGTCTGTGGGGGGGTAGCCTGTCTGCCTCCTTCTCGCAGAAAACCTCCAAAAATTCTGCGTACTTGTGGGGAACCGCTTGCAGCGTGCCTAGCTGCAGCTGTGACTCCTCTTCCTCTCCTTCCTGCCGGGGCACGATGCAGTGTTCAGCGCAAAAGGAAGAGCCGAAGGTCAGCTGCCTCTGGTACCAAGCCAGCGTCGGGCTGTGCTTGTCCAGCCAACTCATGCCCAATACAATGGGCGTGTCCGATAGTTGAGTGACATTGAAGCTGATGATTTCCCTGTGATTCCCAAGCCGCATCACCATTGGTGGCGTCTGCTTCACCACTTGCCCCCCTAGCAGCTCCCTGCCATCCACCGTGACAACCTGCAGGGGCAGCGTGGCAGGCAGCAACTGTATAGCGTGCCGGTCGACAAAGTCCTGCCCTATAAAGTCCGCATTGCTTCCGGAGTCAATGGTGATTGGCACGTCCATGGTGATTCCATTGGGCAGCTGGAGCGACGCGGTGAGCCTCACTACTGGTTTGGGCGGGAGGGGGTCCATGGGCTGTAAAATCTCTGGGGACTGCTTCACTGACACGTCTGGCTGGGCCCCAGTGCCTCTTCCTCCAACCAGACTCCGTCGTTTCCCTGCTGTGGTTCTCCTTGCTGCGTTGCTGCAGTTACCATTGCTGAAGCTGCAGTGTGCTTGTGGAGCCTCTGGGGACACTCTTTCGCCATATGCTGTGGAGCATCGCAGATGTAACACTTCCTGTTCCCTCTAGGAGGCTTCGCTTTCACTGCTGCCGGTGCTAGGGCTCTGGCTGCTGACTGAGCCCTTGCACCTCCAACCTCCATAGGTTCCGCTCCTCCTCCTGGCGGAGGCGTGGATTGCGCACGCGCTGCTTCTCTGGGAAGGAAGGAGGAGCCCCTGGCTGGTTCGCGCCCTCCACGCCCTTCGTCCCTGCTCCACGGACGTTCTTCCAGCCGCACCCCCACCGCCAGCGCCCTCTGAACGATCTCCTGCGTGGTCCGGGGTCTCTCCCCCCTCGCAATTTCATCTTTAACCGAGCCGTGCAATCCCTCCCAAAACAGGTCTCTTACAGGAGCCGAATCTCTGTCCCATTCCAGAGCACTGACCAAAGCGAAAAGCGGGCATGGTACTGCCTTACGCT